CAGTATTTGTCCTCTAGGGTGAACACTTTGCTTTCCTCTAAGTCTGGTGAATGGTTGTTTCAGTCTGGGTCTACATTTCTATTTGTGGAATGGCTCTTATCCACCCTTGTAACCCACTGATGTCCATCATTCTATGGATTATCTTGTCTAAATTTTAGGACTACAGCTCAGAGGTAGAGTACTTGTTTCTGGTGAACAAAGCCCTAGGTTCAGTTCCCTATTATTGTCCCATCCTCCACTTTCCCAAGTAACTATCCTGTCTTTTTTCTTTCCTCCTTTTCCTCCTCTTCCTTTAAAAAAATAAAGCCGGGCGTTGGTGGCACACATCTTTAATCCCAGCACTCGGGAGGCAGAGGCAGGCGGATCTCTGTGAGTTCGAGACCAGCCTGGTCTACAGGGAGAGTTCCAGGACAGGCTCCAGAGCTACATCAGGGAAACCCTTTCTCAAAAAAAACAAAAAACAAAAAACAAAAAAAGTAATAATAATAAATACAATAAAAACAAGGGCTGGAGAGATGGCTCAGGGGTTAAGAGCACTGACTGCTCTTCCAGAGGTCCTGAGTTCAATTCCCCGCAACCACGTGGTAGCTCACAACCATCTGTAATATGATCTGATGCCCTCTTCTGGCATGCACTGTATACATAATAAATAAATAAATCTTTAAAAAAAAAAAATTAAAAAAAAAGCAAAACAAATGAACAAAAACAAAACAAACAGGAAACAAAACTGGATCTCACTGAGTAGTTTGGCTGACCTGAAACTTATTTTTTTTTTTAAGATTTTATTTATTATGTATACAACATTCTGCTTTCATGTATATCTGCACACCAGAAGAGGGCACCAGATCTCATAATGGATGGTTGTGAGCCACCATGTGGTTGCTGGGAATTGAACTCAGGACCTCTGGAAGAGCAGTCGGTGCTCTTAACCTCTGAGCCATCTCTCCAGCCCCCTGAAACTTTCTTTGTAGACCAGACTGACCGAAAACTCAGAGATCCCATTTCTGCTGTGATCAAAGGTGTGTGCCGCCAAACTTGGCCTTATCTTTAGTTCATTTAGTTAGATTTATGTACTTATCACTAGCTAACACCTTTTTAAAGATTTCATTCAAGGTCTTACTTTGCCAAACCCAGTGCTTATTGGATCTGTTGATAATTTCATTTTGAAAACCTTATTTTGAAATGTCATTTTCAAAAAAGATTTAATTGTGTGCTTTTGTTTGGGTAAGTTCATGTGAGTACAGGTGTTTGTGGATGCCAGAAGAGGCAATTGATCTGGAGCTGGAGTTAAGGTGGTTGTGGGTTTCTTGAAATGGAGCAGAGGACCTGAGTTCTGTCCCCTGCACCTCCTGCTGGCAGCCCACAACCTTCTGTAAATCTAGTTCCAGAGGATCTGAAGCCTTTGGCCTCATCAGACACCCGCAAGCTTGAGGCACACACATACAATTAAAAATAGTAAGTCTTTTTAAAAAATTAAAGCCTTATAGTCTGTAAGCTGTTTCATGATCTGATATCTCCTCTTACAGTGCTTATTCTTCTTTCTTGATCATTCAGCCCCAGAATCACTGGCCTCCTTACTGTTTTTTTTTTTTTTTCCTCTTTCTTTTTTTAAAGAAGGTAGATGGTAACACTATGTAGTCTGGAACTTTATTTGCAATTTTACTTTTTAAAGTAAGTGTGTGTGTGTGTGTGTGTGTGTGTGTGTGTGTGTGTGTCTGTCTGTCTGTCTGTCTGTCTGTCTGTCTGTCTGTTTTTTGTCTTCAGGTGTGCTTGTGGAGGTCACAAGGCAACTTCTGGGTCTGGCATTTTTCTTCTAAGTAGGTTCTGTGGATTGAGTTGATATTATCAGTATTGGTGGCAAGGGCCCACACTTGAGAGTCATGTCTACAACCCTTCTGTTTTTGTCCTGAGGCAAGAGGATTAACCACAATTTTGAGGCCAGCTTCATCTACATGGCAATTTTAGGCAAACCTGGGTGATGATGTAAAACCCCGTCTCAAAAAGCCAAAACCCAAACAACAAAAATCCCCACAACCCCAAAATCAGAATGCAACCCTCTCCCTCCCCAAACCTCAGACCTGTGAAATATACATAAGGTCTTTGGAGTTCTGTGAGAGTATGAACTATATACGACTTGTTTGTCATTGTGTCCATAGCACTTTGTGTAGTTCCTGGGGTTTGTGGGGTCTGTAAACAAAGGGCAGGCCCAGTAACCAAAGCAGGAAGGAAATCTGGTTCAGCCTGACTTAGTTAGCCAGTGTTGGTTCAAACTTTTAGAGTCTGACCCTGGGCAGTTTATTTTAGACATATTTAAGCACAGCACAAATTTGGGAAAAAAAGTTTCTTGATGATAATTAACTCAATTCTGTGTGTACAACAAACTTAAGACATGTTTACGTTGAAACTCTTTGCATAAGTCCTCTTCCAAGTGATGAGGTCCATTGACTCAGAAACAATGCTCAAGATAAGAGTCCAGGGAGAACGACTGAGGTAAACACAATGCCTGTGGGAGTCAGGAGTGGCCTGGCCCTAAGATGACACAGAAGTTACCTAGGCTGTTGTAAAGTACAGGTGACTTCTCTCATAAGGATGGGTTTTATTGACTGAGAAGCGATGCTCACCATCTAGGGAGGATAAACAAACATTATAGTCTGGGGAATTCAGGTTAAGAGACCCTACAAGGGGCTGGAGAGATGGCTCAGCAGTTAAGAACACTGGCTACTCTTCCAGAGGTTCTGAGTTCAGTTCCCAACAACCACAGGGTGGCTCACAGCTCTCTGTAATGGAGTCTGATGCCCTGTTATGCTGTGCAGACAAACTTGCAGACAGAGCACTCATATACATAAATTAACAAATTAAAAAAAAAAAAAAGACTGACACTACAGATGGCAAAGATTACCAGGTGTCTTAGTTGGTGTTCTGTTGCTGTGAAGAGACACCATGATCGCAACTTTTTTAAAAAAAAAGATTTATTTATTTTATATATAAATGTTCTGCCTGCAAACATTCCTGCCCACCAGAAAAGGGCACCAGATCTAACTGTAGATGGCAGTGAGCCACCATGTGGTTGCTGGGAACTGAACTCAGGACTTCTGGAAGAACAGCCAGTGCTCTTAACCTCTGAGCTATCTCTTCAGCCCTGATCACAGCAACTCTTATAAAAGAAAACATGTAATTGGGACTTGCTTACAGTTTCAGAGGTTTACTCCATTGTCACTATGGCGTTGACATAACGCTGTGCTTAACATTCCTTGTTTCCCTAGTGTTTAGCTGTGAGTGCAGGGACCTCATATCCCCTTCAGGTGTTCAGCACATTAATTTGAATGAATTTTAAGAGAGACCATCTTGGATTTATTTTTGGTATATGTGTGTTTGTACACCTATAGTAATCACAAACAATTAGGTGGTTCTTCTAATGTGCATTTTATAGGAATAGTTCATCATCCATCTAAATACTGACCTAGGCCTTGTGTAATTTGAGTTTTAACCAGTCCATAGATTCAGACCTATCTTGTTTAGTCTTTCACAAATCCCAGTGTATCATTTGTCATATATAATAAATGCACAACATTAAGAATGATAATAGCACAGTATTTTGCTGTTATACAACGAATCAACTGGATAAGGGTTTAGATTATACTTCTGCTGTTTTGGGACTGGAGAGATGGCTCAGAGGTTAAGCGCACTGGAAGCTCTTCCAGAGATCATGAGTTCAATTCCCCACAACCACATGATTGCTCATGCCCACATGCCAGAACAGTGTATACATTATAAATAAATAAATATTTAATGTTTAAATATTTAATAAATAAATAATAAATAAATATTTAATAAAAATTGTAATTTTAATTTTATTTAGAAATTCTTTTTTTCTTCTTTCTTATTTCTCCCTTTTTTATTTTCTTCTCTTTGATTTTCTTTTTCTGGGGCAAGGTCTTGCCTTGAAGCCCAGACATATTGGCTTCACACTTGTGATCCTCCTTCAAAGTGCATCTTATCACTTAAGCATCAAATTATATCTGTAGTAAAACCTTGAGTGTTTTGGAGATGATATTGAGACAAATGTTTATAATTCCTTTTATAGCGAGCTGGCTTCTGCTATTGCTCAGATAGAGCTGTCCTCATGAGGTTGCCTTTTTTTTCCATGACAATTTTTAAAAAATAATTTACAAAATAACCAAAATTATTTACTTATGTTTTAGTTATTTTTAAGTTAATGTTTTGGGCTAAGTTTGTTGATATTGAATGCTTTATACATTTGAGTTTTTTGTTTGGTTTTGTTTTTGAGATAGGGTCTCTCTATATAGCCCTGGCTGTCCTGGAACTCACTGTTTAGATCAGGGTGGCCTGGAACACACAGGCCTGGGATTAGAGGTGTGCACTATCACGTTTAACCTAGATGTGTTCTTTTTTAATAACTAAGATATTTTATGAACAAAACAAATAGGAAAAAACAAAATAAAGAAATGTGCCAAGTGTGATGCCCTTGCACTTGGGAGGCAGAGGCATGCAGATCTCTGCTGTTCAAAAGAAATCTGATTACAGAGCAAGTTCAATACAGCCATGGCTACAAAGAGGGTTTGTCTCAAGACATACAACAAAACAAAGCTGGGGTGGGGGTGGGGCGGGAATGAAGAGGAGAAGGAAAAATAGGTAAGGAAATAATATATGCCAGGCAATGATAGTGTGCACTTTTAATCCCAGCACTCAGGAGGCAGAGGCAGGCGGATCTCTGTGAGTTCAAGGCCACACTGGTCTACAGAGTGAGTTCTAGGACAGCCAGGGCTACACGGAGAAATCCCGTCTTGTAAAAACAATAACATCAAAATGAATATATACTTGCAAACACATTGTTAATGCATGCTGTTTTACCACCTCTAACCTTATTAACATAGTAGTACATTTATTTGATGTAACTAAATTTTTGTATCTCTATATAAAGGTAGTGTTTTAAGAGAAATCTGGGAAAAATGCTACAGTTATTTTTTTGTTGTTCACAGGAAGGGAGGAAATAATAAGTTAATAAAGATCTATCATCGGGATGGTAAATACGGCTTTTCTGATCCCCTGACATTTAATTCTGTGGTGGAACTCATTAACCATTATCACCATGAATCTCTTGCTCAGTACAATCCCAAACTCGATGTGAAGCTGATGTACCCAGTATCCAGATACCAACAGGTATGACCATAGGCATTCTCATATCGTTATTTTATATAATTTTATTCTATTTATCAGGCTCACTGGTTAAAAAGAAGTCTGGGTTATATTTATTTTCCTAGTTAATCCTGAGTGTGGTGGTGCTTGTCTTTAGTCACAGCAGAGGCAGGCGGATCTCTGCGAGTCCCAGGCCAGCCAGGACTGTGTGAATCTCTCTCTCTCTGTCTCTCTCTCTCATAGACACACACACACACACACACACACACACACACACACACACACACACACACACACACACACGTACGTGAGGTATGACAGTAAAACCTACAATCCTAGAACTCAGGAGACTGGGAGCAGGAAGATCAGAACTTCAAGGTGGACATTAACTGCATAGTGATTTCAAAGCCAGCCTACCTACATGAAACCCTGCTTCAAAAACCAAAACCAAAAAAACTAAAATACCTAAAATGCTACTTAGGAAATATGTGGTCCTTCCTTCTTTCCTTCTGTAGTTTTTCTTTTTTTCTTTTTTTTTCTCTTTGGGGGCCTACCACCCAGCTCTCAAATAAATACAAAGAGTCTTATTCTTACTTATGAATGCCTGGCCTTAGCTTGGATTATTTCTAGCCAGCTTTTCTTAACTTAAATGATCCCATCTACCTTTTGCCTCTAGGATTGTACCTTTCTATGTTCTGTATACCTTTTTTTATTTCTTACTCCATGTCTGGCTGTGTGGCTGGCTCCTGGCATCCTCCTTACTAAAATAAGTTTTTAAAAGATTCTGGCTCCTCTTTTTTTTCACTCCTCCTCTTTTTTCTCCTTCTATTTATTCTCTCTGCCTGACAGCCCCACCTATCCATCTCCTGCCTTGCTATTGGCCATTTGGCTCTTTATTAGACCAATCAGGTGTTTTAGACAGGCAAAGTAACACAGCTTCACAGAGTTCGACAAATGCAACATAAAAGAATGCAACACATCTTTGCATCATTAAACAAATATTCCACAGCATAAACGAATGTAACACATTTTCAATTAATATTCCACAACAGGGAGGGTTTATGTAGAGGTCTTCCTTGGGTGTTAGTCCTCAGGAGCAATCTACCTTTTTATTTTGAGTCAGGGTCTCTCATTGGAACCTGGGTTTACTGATTAGCCCAGGCTGGATAACCTTGAACCCCAGGGATCTACCCATTTCTAGTAGTGGAATTTAAGCATGTGGCAACAAACCTCACTTTATACTTATGAGCTGAGTATCAGATTTAGGTCTTCATGTTTAACAAGCTGAGCTATCTCTTCAACCCTCTTCCTGCCTGCCTGCCTTCCCATCCTCCCTCCCTCCTTCCTTAATTTTAAAAAAGTGTGTGTGTGCCTGCCTGTGCCTATGTGCCTATGCCTGAAAAGGCTAGAAGACATGACATGGCAACCCCTAGAGTTGGAGTTACAGGCAGTTGTAAACTGCTGGAGGTGAGTGCTGGGAATGAACTTGGGACCTCTGAAGAGCAGCAAGATGCTCCCAACCACTGAGCCATCTCTCTAATCCCTCTGGTCCTATTTCTTCTTAAAAATTTTATTATATTTTACTTTATGTTTTTGCCTGACTGTATGTCTGTGCATTTATATATGTGCATGGTGCTCACTGAGGCCAGAGGAGGGCATTGAATCTCCTGGGACTGGAGTTACAGATGGTTGTGAGCTACCATGTGGGTGGTGAGAATCACACCCAGGTTCTCTGGAAGAGTAGTCAGTGCTCTTAAGCACTGAGTAATTTCTCTAGCCCCATATTTCTTAATAAATATTTTTAATTGATTTTTTTAATTTTTCTTTTGAGACAGGTTTTCTCTGTACTGCTTTGGAGCCTGTCCTAGAACTTGCTCTGTAGACCAGGCAAGATCTCTTGAACTCAGAGATCCGCCTGCCTTTGCCTCCTGAGTGTTGGGATTAAAGGCATGTGCCACCAATGCCTGGCTTAATAAATATTTTTTAAAATAACATTATTTTTACCTAACTTAAAATCTGGTCTTACGCTGGGTGTTGGTGGTGCACACCTTTAATCCCAGCACTCGGGAAGCAGAGGCAAGCGGATCTCTGTGAGTTTGAGGCCAGCCTGGTCTCCAGAGCAAGTGCCAGGATAGGTGCCAAAGGTACACAGAGAAACCCTGTCTCGAAAAAACCAAAAAAAAAAAAAAAAAAAAAAAAAAAAAAAAAAAAAAAAAAATCTGGTCTTAGTGTTACTGAAAAGTGTTTTTCTTGCCAGGTTGGTGATGCGTACCTTTAATCCCAGCACTAGGGAGGTGAGGATTGCTATGAGTTCCAGGCCAGCCTGGTCTGCATACTGAGACCCTGTCTCAAGAAACTGAACAAAACAAAATCCTCACAAAACCAAACAAAGTGTTTTTGGTGCTTGCTATTAAAACAGTGACTTCTAAAGTTGAAATATAATTTGAATGTAAATAGACTTGGACAAACATGGTAGAATTAATAATATTGCTTCATTTTGTTTTTGTCTGCCTGTGTAGGATCAGTTGGTAAAAGAAGATAACATTGATGCAGTAGGTAAAAACTTGCAGGAGTTCCACTCTCAGTATCAGGAGAAGAGTAAAGAATATGACAGGCTGTATGAAGAGTACACCAGGACATCTCAGGTGAGAACTGTTGTTTGGGGATGGGCTTTGTGCAGAGTTATGGCTCATCAGATTCTGAGTGGTTGACTGGGTGATCTTCTGCTGTCTTCATATCTTAACTGTCTTTTGAGATTTTGGTTGATACAAATATACTCCCGTTCAAACCTTTTTTGTTATTGTTGTTAAAAATACAATTTTTTATTAGTATTAACTAGTGGTCTAGGAATGTGGTTTAACTGGTGGAGTGCATATTGTTTGTCAATCAGGTTTGATCCTTTCATCACATAAAGCTGGATGTGGTGGTACAAGCCTTTAATCACTGGCACTGGGGAGTTGGAAGCTGGAGGATCAGAAATTGAAGGTCACCCTCAGCTGTGTAGCCAGCCCAAAGCTTATCTGGGACTCATGGGAACCTGCCCAATTATTTATTTATTTATTTATTTTGGTATTTGAGGATAGGTTTCTCTGTGGCTTTGGATGCTGCCCTGGAACTAGCTCTTGTAGACCAGGTGGTCTCGAACTCACAGAGATCTGCCTGCCTCTGCCTCCTGAGTGCTGGGACTAAAGGCATGTACCACCACCACCCGGCTCCAGTTTTGTTTTTTTTTTTAATTAGGTAATATTGAATAAATAGTTGTAAATTAAGGAAATAAACAAAATGACAAATTCTTGAGATAGAAATTAATTTTTGTCCATATGCACAGTACAGGGCTGTTTCAGTAGCTCTACTGTCATCATGATTCTTGGATTTTTCTGTTGTATGCTCTCCTTATCTCACATGAGCAGGCACCACCATATTTCTAGTAAAAGAAAAGAATAGGAAGGAAAAAGGAAGCGCCTCTCCCCCATACCCCATCCCCAGGGTTTCTCTGTGTAGCCTAGGCTGGCATGGAACTTACTCTGTAAATCAGGCTGACCTCAAACTCAGAGATCCACTTGCCTCTGGGATTAAAGGCTTGTGCCATCTCACCCGACCGATTTTATGCTTTTTAAGACAACTTATTAAATGTGTATGAGTGTTTTGCTTGTGTGTTTGTCTGTGCACCATGTGCATGCCTGGTGTCCATGGAACCCAGAAGAGGCCATCAGAACTGGAGTTACAGATGGTTGTGAGCCACCATGTGGGTGGTAGAAATCAGAGGTGGCTCTTCTTCAAGAACAATGGATGCTCCTAGCCACTCAGCCTTCTTTCCAGCCTGAGGGTTTCTGCTTTGAAATTTTTATTCCTATTTATTTTATGAAGTTGATAGTAATGATCCTTCTTTGAGTCTCTTTGATGTTGTGTTGTTTTGTTTTTGAGACAGGGTTTCTCTGTGTAGCCTGGGCTGTACTAGAACCAGACTGGCCTCACACTCACAAATACCACAAGTGCTGGCATCACAGGGTGTTGTTTTGCCGGTTATTTCTCCTCTAATCTTTGTTGTTTCCTTCCATCTGCTAGCTTTGCATTTTGTTTCCTTTTTTCTTTTTTCCTAGTTTCTTAAGTTATCCAATTAGATTATTGATTTGAGAGCATGCTTGTCTTTTAAATGTAAGGATAATAGTGTCACTGCACACTGGTGCAGGTCAGAGGACAACTTTGTGGAGTCCTTTAGAACCTGCACGGTCTGATTATCGGGGCCTTTTTACCCACTCTCAGTTTGCTTTCTGTTGCTGTGATAAACAGCATGAACAGAAGCAACTTGGGAAGGAAGAGTTTGTTTCATCTCACAGGTGCAGTCCATCATGAAGGAAGTCAGAGCAGAACCTGAAGCAGAAACCATGGAGGAATGCTGCTTTGTGACTTGCTCCCCAAGGTTTACTCACTTTCCTTCTCAGGGGTGGTACCACTTGCAGTGGGCTGGGCCCTTTCATATCACTTATTGATCCAGAAAATGTCCCACATACTTTTCTGCAGGTCAGTTTGATGAAGGCATCTTCTCAACGAGGTTTTCTCTTCTGAGATGGCCCTACCTTGTGCCAAGCTAATAAAAGTAACCAGCATACCCACTGAGCCGTTTCAACACCAGCCTCTCTCCTACTGTTTTTTTTTTTTTTAAGATTTTTATTTATTTATTATGTATACAACATTCTGCTTCCATGTGCATCTGCACACCAGAAGAGGGCACCAGATCTCATTACGGATGGTTGTGAGCCACAATGTGGTTGCTGGGAGTTGAACTCAGGACCTCTGGAAGAGCAGTCGGTGCTCTTAGAACTTTGTGTAAATGACAGTAGCCTAGAGCTTACAGAGGTCTGTCGAGCACTGCTTCACAAGCTTCTGGGATTAAGGGACACACCGCCATGCACGGCCTTCGTCATTTATTTTTTGAGTCATTAGTCGTGTAGGAGCATGTTATTTAATTTCTGTATCTTTGTTACTTTTTAGTTTTTCTTCTATGATTGATTTCTACTTTTCACTGTGGATCAGAGAAGAGTCTCTGTATGATTTTAGTCTTTTAAAATTAATTAAAACTTGGGGCTGGAGCGATGGCTCAGCATTTAAGAGCAATTGTTCTTGCAAAGGATTTGGGTTTGGTTCCCAGCATGCACATGTTGGTTCACAAACCAAATGCCTTCCTTTGAGTGAAGGCATCAGGCACAAATGTGGTTCACATATAAACATACATGCAAAACACTCATGCACATAAAATTAAATAAGTAAGTCTCAAAGAAGATAAAATCTTTTAAAACTTGTTTTGTGACCTAATGTGATATATTTTTGGAGAATATTATGTTTTTTCTTAAGAATTATCTATAGTCTACTCTTGCTGTCTGGAGTGTTCTTTATTATGCCTAGTATGTATATAATTGGGTTAATTTACAGTTAAAAAAATCTTTGTAATATTACATAAACACTACTATTATGCATCTCTGCCCCTGCTTCCCCCTCATTTTTTTGAGTCAGGGTCTCACTATATAGCCCTGGGTAGCCTGAACTCACTATGTAGACCAGGCTAGTCTTGAACTCACAGAGACCTATGTGACTTTACCTCTCAAGTGCAAGTGCTAGCATTAGAAGTTTGTGCCAAGCTGGGCAGTGGTGGCACACGCCTTTAGTCCCAGCACGCAGGAGTCAGAGACAGGTGGATCTCTGTGAGTTGGAGGCCAACCTGGTCTACAGAGTGAATTCATTTTTTTCTTTTATTAATGATTTTTTTATGCATTTTCCTTTAAAGTCATATAAAATAGAAGAGGCAATACCCAGGGTATAGCTCATTGATAGAATCTGGTTTTGCTTTCTAGCCCTGGAAGAAAAATCCCCTAGTTTACTAACTGTAAAGCCTTATATTATGATATATAATGGCCATTTCACCATCCATATAATGCTGATCACTTTAATGGATTTAATCTGTAAAAGTCTTAATAACTTTTTCTCCATTCTGCCATCATACACTAGACTCATCACAGGTAATTCATCCAGAAATGCTAAAGTAATAAAAGATGTTGAAACTGGAAATTAAGGTCTAGACACCAGACACATACATGGTAAAAATAAATAAATGTCCTCAAACCTTCTGGCTCCTACAGGCTTTTCTCCCCCTCTTCTGTGGGGTTTCCCTGTCTCTGCTGAGTGTTTGGCTGTGGGTCTCTGTATCTGTTCCCATAAATTGCTGGATGATGCTTCTGTGATGACAATTGGGCCAGGCACTGTTCTATGTGTATAGCAGGGTATTATTAGAATCATTTCATTGATTTTTTTTTTTTTTGATATTCATGTTTGGTTCTATCCAGGGCTTCTAGGCTTTCTAGCCTCTGGTTTCTGGCCATCCATTCAATGTCAGGCATGGGCTTCCTCTCATGGCAGGGCTTCAAGTTGGACTAACCAGTTGGTTGACCACTCCCACAAGTTCTGCATCACCATTACCCCAGCACATGTTGCAGGCAGGACAGATTGTGGGTCAAAGGTCTATGGCTGAGTTGTTGTTCTGTCCAGCTGCTTTCCCAGGAACCTTGCCTCACTATAGAAATGGCAGTTCAGGCTCCATATCCCCCATTTCTGGCAGTCTTTGCTAGGATCACTCTCATAGGAGCCAGAGGGGTTGAAAACACTAGGAGAACATGACCCACAAAATCAACTAAGCGGGACTCTCAGAGACCATAGCAACAATCATGGGCTTTTTGTATAGCTGAGCTAGGTCCTCTGCATATGTTATGGCTGTGTAGCTTGGTGTTCTTGTGGGGCTCCTAACAGTGGGAATGGGGGTGTCTCTGACTCTTTTTGCCTGCTCTTGGGACCCTTTTATTCCTACTGAATTGCTTTGTCTCGCCTTGATAGGAAGGTTTGTACCTAGTCTTATTGTAACTTGTTATGGCATATTTGTTTGGTTGATATCCCTGGGAGGTCTGCTCTTTTTTTGAAGGGAAATGGAGGAGAGTGGATCTGGGGAGAGGGTATGATGGAAGGAGTGGAGGGAGGAGAGAGAAGAAGAAAAGTAAATAAATCATGTTTTTTTATTTTATATTGTTGTTGTTGTTATTATTATTATTATTATTATTATTATTATTATTATTGGTTTTTCGAGACAGGGTTTCTCTGTGGCTTTGGAGACTGTCCTGGAACAAGCTCTTGTAGACCAGGCTGGTATAGAACTCACAGAGATCTGCCTGCCTCTGCCTCCCCAGTGCTGGGATTAAAGGCATGTGCCACCAATGCCCAGCATAAATCATGTTTTAAAAATCGAAATGAAACACACATATTAAATACACACATGCATTTAGGGTTACAACAAATGTAGCATAAATATTAAGTAGCTAGAAAAGTTATCAAAATATTTTTTTTGTTTTTGTTTTTTGAGACAGGGTTTCTCTGTGTAGCCCTAGTTGTCTTGGAACTAGCTCTTGTAGACCAGGCTGGACTTGACCCATAGAGATCCACCTGCTCCTGCCTCCTGAGTGCTGGGATTAAAGGTATGTGCCACACCACCCAGCTCAAAATAATTCTTAATAATTAAAAAGATAAAATGGAATCAGTTTTCACACAGAACTATGGATCAGCACATTTTGGCCATATACTTTTTCAGCAGAAATCTGGTATTCTACTTCAAGGAAGGCTTACCTATAGGCTTTACTATATTGATTCAAAACAGTCACATCTTCCTCCTTACTTAGGCAAAGCCTTAGTGTTACAGTAGGCTTTTATAGCTTGGGACCATTCAAATAGACCCTGTTCACTGTGTCTTCAGTATATATACAGAACCCAAATGTTTCTCACCACCTTTCCTACTATACCTTGTCCAAAGCTAGCACCATTTCTTGCCTGATGTGTTAGTTTTTGTGTTGCTGTGACAAAGTACTTGAAGACTGGGTGTGGCGGGGCACCTTCAATCCCAGCACTGTGAAGACTGGGTGTGGCGGGGCACCTTCAATCCCAGCACTGTGAAGACCGAGACAGGCAGAACTCTGTGAATTTGAGGCCAGCCTGGTCTGCATTGCCAGTTCTTGGCCATTTGGGGGATGTGTAAGAGACATAACATGTAACATACAACGACAGAATACTTGAGAGAGTCGGCCTCAAAGGGGGAAAGGTTTGCTTTGAATCGCAGTTTTACATGTTTCAGTGCAGTATCAGAGGAGAGGGAGAGGAGCCAGGGTTCTGCTAGCCCCTTTAAAGGAGTGCTTCCAGTGACCTAACTTCCTGAAGGTTCCACTTCCTCCCCGCTTTCAGGAAGCTGTCCATAAAGCCTTAACACATGAGCCCTTGGGGGAACACTCCAGATTCAAGCTATAATGTCTTCATCCTCAGCAGAAGCCTTCTAACTGATATTCTTGCCCCCCCCCCACCTTCCACTTCTCATCTCCTAAATCAGTTTTCACCTTATCAGTCAGGGCGATAATTGTAAAACTTAGGTTAAGTTGTACTCTTTTTTTTTTTTTTTAACTATGTATACAGTGTTCCGTCTGCATGTATGCCTGCAGGCTAGAAGAGGGCACCAGATCTCATTACAGATGGTTGTGAGCCACCATGTGGTTGCTGGGAATTGAACTCAGGACGAGCAGTCAGTGCTCTTAACCTCTGAACCATCTTGCCAGCCCCCCCCGTTTTTTTTTAAGATTTTATTTTTTTATTATGTATACAGTCTTCTGTCCGCATGCTAGCAGAGAGCACCAGATCTCATTCAAGATGGTTGTGAGCCACCATGTGGGTGCTGGGATTTGAAGTCAGGACCTCTGGAAGAACAGTCAGTGCTCTTAACCCCTGAGCCATTCCTCCAGCCCCTAAATTGTACTCTTGTGTTTGTTTTAGTGCATGTGTGGAGGACAGAGGTCAAGCTCAGGTGTTGTTCATATGGCATTGCCCACTTTGTTTTTTGAGATAGGTTCTGTCTGAAGGTTGTCCAATAGACTAGGCTGGCTGGCAAGTGAGTCCCAGAGGCCCATTTGTCTCTACTTCTCCAACATGGGGATCATAAGCACATGACTGTGCATGTCCTTTATATGTTGGTTCTGGGACCAGATTCAGTTCTTTAGCTAGTGTGGCAAGTGCTTTGCTGACTGAGCTATTGCCACAGGCTTACTCCTTGTTTTTAAAAAACAAACAAACAAAACCCTCAACATAATCCCCAAACTCTATATTAGTCAGGGTTCTCTAAAGTTTAAAAAAAAAAAAAAGGTGTGAGCTCATTATATGCTTGAGGCAAGCCTGAATTTCTTAACATACTGTCTCTACCTCATGAATGCTAGGATTGTAAATGTGTGCCACCATGCCTGGCTCTGACTTTAGTTCATTAATAATGTTTTCTTTTTTTGAGATAGGGTTTCTTTGTGTAGCTCTGACTGTCCTGGAACTCACCCTGTAGACTAGGCTATTCTCAAACTCACAGAGATCCACCTGCCCCTGCCTCCAGAGTGCTGGGACTAAAGGTGTGTGCTATCAGTGCCCGGCTTTATTTATTGTGTGTAAGTGTGTGTGCATTCGACAGCATGTGTATGTCAGAGGACAGCTTCCAGTGGTTGGTTCTCTTCCTTCCCTGTGAGTCCTCAGGTTTGGTGTCTGTCAGATGTTTTTCTCACTGAGCCATCCTCTTGGCCTGGACATTACTCCTTAGAACTGGTCACTGTTCTCTCCTGGCTTACTGTTTTTGAATATAGGACACCTGATTTCCACCTTGCAGTGTTTGCATTGCCTGCCTGCTTCAAAAACTTTGTAAAAACCTGGCTAATCCCCTTGCTTCCTTTAAGTCTTCCCAAGGCCTGCCTGGCATCTTTATTTAATAAATTTAATTTATTGTCGAGGCTTATAATCCCAGCACTTAGAAGACAGAGGCAGGAGCATCTGGTATTCAAAGTCATCCATAGTTGCATATAATGACTTCAAGGCCAATTTGGGGTACATGAGACAAAAATTAAAATTGTGCTGGGCGTTGGTGGCATACAACTTTGATCCCAGCACTCGGGAGGCAGAGGCAGGTGGATCTCTGTGAGTTTGAGGCCAGCCTGGTCTACAGAGTGAGGTCCAGGACAGCCTCCAAAGCCACAGAGAAACCCTGTCTCAAAAAAAAAATTAAAATTGTAACATGCCACTGGGTATAGTAGCATATACCTATCACCCTAAGACTAGGAGACTGAGGCAGGGGGACTTCAGATTATAGGCCAGCCTGGGCAATACAGTGAGGTCTATTATAACAAGCAAAAAACCATACAGCAATAACAAAATTAATCAAAGGTAAGAGAGATGGGTGAACAGGTAAAGGTACTTGCAACAGTATCGTGGAGACCTGAGTTTGAATCCTGGCTCCCATGGAAAAGTGGAGGGAAAGAACCAGTTTCACCACGTTGTCCTCTGACCTCTACATGCATGTCATGGCATAAAACCTGCCTCCCTATAGCAATAATTTTTTTAAAAAAATTAGTTAACTTCATTTGGTTACTTCTACCTTGACATGAACACAAATCCTAGTAGAGTTCAGAAATCTATGTACTCTGAGTCCTGGGTGACAAGCTTCAGTTTCACAAATTCTCTTTATTGTCTATCAGGTAGTACTTGTGGTGTAGTGTGTTCTTAGTAACCATTCATTGAAATTAGTAAATGTAAGGTAGTTGAAGAACTGTCCTGCTAGTGTGAGAGTTTCTAGAATTACAAATATACAGGCTAGCCATCTTTCTGGAATCTTATGCATAAATATTATTTTTCTGAGAAGTACATTGAACCAGAGTTAAGCCCTTTCTGAAGATTTTAGGACCATCCTGATTCAGATGCTAATGTAATGTATTGTATCCTGGGATAGTGAGATGGCTTAGCACGGAAAGGTACCTGCCTCTAAGTGAGATGACCTGAGTTCAGCCCCAGGACCCACATAGTGGAAGGAGAAAAACAATGACTTCCACAGGCATGCACCTTGCTGTGCACATATGCATACATACAAAAAATAAAATATAATAAAACATAAAAAATATTAAAACCTTGCTATCCTCAGAGATCATTAGAATGTATGAAGACTAAATGGCTTAATCTAATTGGGATCTTGGAGTTAGTAAGTCTGTTTAGTAGGATTTTTAGTTTTTCATCTTAGTACATCTGACTAGCAGATATTCTGTCCGCTTTTTTTCTTCTAATCAGATTACTGATGAATCTGGAAAATTCAGCATGCAGTTTAGTAATGAAAGGGATAATAAATAGAATCTACACAGCTCTTCTGGGAATAAGACTTTAAATTTTGGTATATGAACTCCTGGTCTCTCCAGTCACTCATTCAATTAACTTTTAGAGATTAGTACTGCAATAATCGGTGTACAGTAAAACGATCCTTGTAGTCATGGTGTTCAAGGTCGGTCTCATGGCAACTGCTAGGTCTTTCTGTGGTTCTTAGCCATATCTTAGGTAATGGTTCTTTTTATTTATTTTATAACCGGAAGTGTTTTATATGTAAGTAGTAGAGAAGGGTTGAATAAAGCGACTGTTTTTGCCCTGCTATAGGGTCTTAATAATCTTTTTGTTTGTTTGAGATAGGATGTTATACAATCTAGAGTAGCCTTGAACTCTGTGTCGCCAATCATGACCTTTAAATTCTGGTCCTTGGGTCTCTTTACCTTCTAAGTATTAGGATTACATGTGCTACCATGCCTGGTACTGGGGTTCAGACCCAGTACTTTGTGTACGATAGACAAGCACTCTAACAATTGAGATACGTCTCCAGTTCCCCACCACCTCCACAAGTGCTGAGGACTGAATCAAGGGCCTTTCATATGCTAGATGTTATGGCTGGACCACTTATCTAGTCTGTATAATTGGTCTGATAAAGGGTTATAACCAAAACTACAAGATTAGTTTTAAGATGAAGACTGTAAAAATATGATAGTGTGTGTGTGTGTGTGTGTGTGTGTGTGTGTGTGTGTGTGAAATGGATTCTCTTAAAGTGGCTTTAAGCTTGCTAGATGAGGTTGGCCTTGAATTCCTGATCCTCCTCCTACTTGCCTCCTGAATGCTGAGATTATAGTCGGGAACCACCCTGCCTAGTTATAAAGTATATATTGTTTCTTTTCCTCCTGTAGGAAATACAGATGAAGAGGACTGCAATTGAAGCCTTTAATGAAACTATTAAAATATTTGAGGAGCAGTGTCATACCCAAGAACAACACAGTAAAGAATATATTGAGCGTTTTCGCAGAGAGGGGAATGAAAAGGAGATTGAACGGTGAGTGTTCTTAATACCTCCAAGTGAGTAATGAAATAAGACTTTTTTCTTCATTAATAATTTTTGTCTTGTTTGTTTATACCCCCTCAAGTTGCCCATATAAATGGTATATGGAACTGTTGGCTGTTCACAGTAATGCATGGTACCAAATGCCATCTCTTCTTTTTTTATGTGTTTTCTCTTATTCTCTGTAAATTCTTTTATGTGTTTTCTCTTATTCTCTGTAAATTCTTTTTTTTGTGTCTTTTTTTTTTTTTTTTTTTTTTTTTTATTGAACCTGGGTCTTCTAGAAGAGCAGTCAGTGCTCTTAACTGCTGAGCCATCTCTCCAGTTCCTTACCTCTGTAGAGCCATCTCTCCAGTTCCTTACCTCTGTAGAGCCATCTCTCCAGTTCCTTACCTCTGTAGAGCCATCTCTCCAGTTCCTCTTAACTGCTGAGCCATCTCTCCAGTTCCTTACCTCTGTAGAGCCATCTCTCCAGTTCCTTACCTCTGTAAATTCTTAATTCTTACCCATCCTGTAGGACTTAGGTTAGACATAACCTTTTCCAGAAGAGTCTTCCATTTAGGGGTGTTGTATAAGTGTTCATGCAGTGTTTGGTCCTGATCCCAGTATAACATATGCCCATTCAATTGCATAAGAATAGACATGCTGGTTCCCGCCTGCCCCCCAATATAGCCCAGCACCTATGTCTATCATAGTCATGCTTTTATGGTACTCGGCTGGGAATTGTGACATGTGCCTATAATCAGCTGTTCCAGAGGCTGAAGCAAGAGGACCAGCCTGTGTAGCATAGTGAGACCCGGTCACAAACAAGCCCAACAAGATATTAGGACCTTGTTTATGCTTCTTGACCCTCTGCTTCTGTTTATATTTTAGCCTAAATATGTCATGTTTTCACAGAATTATGATGAATTATGATAAGTTGAAATCACGTCTTGGTGAGATTCATGATAGCAAAGTGCGCCTGGAGCAGGACTTGAAGAAACAAGCTTTGGACAACCGGGAAATAGATAAAAAAATGAATAGCATCAAACCTGACCTGATCCAGCTGCGTAAGATTCGGGATCAGCACCTTGTGTGAGTAGTCTGGGCTGAATGCTGAGGTACACACCAGCATCAGGTATTAGTAAAACCAGAAATGTTGTCAATGGGAGAAGAACTTGAAAACTAGAAAGCAATATGTAAGAATTTAGGAATGTGGCCCTATAGTAGTAGGAGGTCCCAGAATGGCACAAATCAAGTCAGAATGTAGTACTCTACTTCATGCAAATACTTAGAAACTCTCAGACAAAATTAGCAAAGTTTTATAGAGTAAATATACATGTTGGGGCTGGAGAGATGGCTCAGTGGTTAACAACACTGCTGTTCTTCCAGAGGGCTTGGGTGTGGGTCCCAGCACCCACATGGTGGCTCATAACTCCAGTTCCAGGGGATATGCCCTCTTCTGAACTCTGTGAGTATCAGGCACATGCATGATGCATAGGCATACATGTAGGCAAAACAGTTATAATATAAAATAAATCTTAAAAAATTAAAAGTATGTTGATGTTTTAAAACTAGGAACTGTAGTTTTGTGATAGAATCACAGAAGAAGAATTATTCCTTCAGGGTAAATTCTACAAAAAAGTAAGTAGAACAGGTAGTTCCTTAAAGGATTTTTATGCTTGAGAAATAAAATTTGGTATGTGGTGACACATGTCTGTGATCCCAGTTCTCAGGTGGCAAAAGCAGTAGAACCAGGAGTTCAAGGCCAGCCTCAGCTACATAGCAAGTTTTAGGCCATCCTGGGTTCCATGAGGCACTGTTTAAAAAGGAAAAGAAATGTGCTGGCAAGATGACTCAGTGGGAAAGGCCACCAAGCCCGACAACCTGATTTCAGTCAGTGCCTGGGATCCACATGGTGGAAAGAAAGAACCAACTCCTGTAAATTCTGTTCTCTGTAATTCTGTGTTCTCTGACCTCCACTAAGTGCCATGCCTCCTCTCCCTAAAGTATCTCTATAAAAAGTATCTCTATAAAAAATGAAATTTGTGTTTAAATAAGAAAAGTGTGTGTATAGTAGGTGTTGTTTGCTGTAGCCACAAAACACAAAACCCATGTGGCGTTTATTGGGAAAGGGAGCGCCAAAGGAAGGGTAGGTGTTTGCTGACCAGGAGCAGAAATGGAAAGGGAGAACAGGCAGAAGATGCTTTCTTAAAACGGAAAGCTTGCACATGTGTACAGAGTTCTTACGCAGCCACATAACACATGATGTAGCCACACAACATAGGGCCCTTTGAGCTGTCTAAGTATCTGTCTGAATGCCAGTGTGTGTACCCTGCTAGTTGTCAGGGGGCAGGGTCAGCATGATGCCAGGATTTCAACAGTAGGTACTTGAGATACTTTCAGTAGTAAAAAACAATACTTTTTTAAAAAACATTTTTCTTTATTTTTATGTGCATGAGTATTTTGCCTACATTTATTTATGTATGTATATGAACTGTGGTAGTTTGAAAGAAAATGACCCCCAAAGGGAATGGCACTATTAGGAGGTATGGCTTTGTTGGAGTAAATGTGTCCCTGTGGGGGTGGGCTTTGAGGTCTCTTTCTCAAGCTTCAGTTACTATGACAGTCAGTTGACTTAGTGTTGCCTGCAAGATGTAGGACTCTCAGCTCCAGCATATCTGCCTGCATGCTGCCCTTGTCCCCACCATGATGATAATGGACTGAACCTCAGAACAAGCTTTTTTCACATATCAGTCCCTTGAACCTCAGAAACTGTAAGTGAGACACCTCAATTAAATGTTTCCTTTATAAGAGTTGCCATGGTCATGGTGTCTCTTCAAAGCAACAGAAACCCTGACTTAGACCATATTCCTTCGGAGGCACTCCATGTTGGATCCTTTGGGACTAGAGTTACGGATAGGTGTGAGGATGCCTTATGGGTGCTGGGAATGAAACCTACACAGCCTGTGAATATAGGTGGAGCTTCTTTGTGTCCTGGCAGCCACCCTCAAATATACCACATTGAGACTTATTATTAATTATAAATGCTTGGCCAATAACTCAGGCTTGTTACTAGCTAACTCTTAAATGTTAAATTAGCCCTTATTTCTTATCTATGCTCTGCCACGTGGCTTGGTACCTTTTCTCAGTAGGTAAAGTTCACCTTCTCTCCAAGTCTCCTTGTGATTCTGAGACTCCTCCCCTTCTTCATTGCTCTCTTTTTGTCTGCAAGTCCCCACTAACCTCTACCTGTCCAGGTATTGTCTAGTCAGCTTTGTTATTAACGCAGTCACAGTGATACATATCTTCACACAGTGTAAAGGAATTTTCCACATGTACTCTATCTAATTGCACTTTCTCCACCCCCTAACCCCCTCTTCCCACATATATCCACACCTTCCCACCCATTTACACACCACACCATACTACCACCACACAAAACCACCGACCCACATATACCCCCATACACATACACCTACTCACACAATACTACCACCACCAGAGCAACAGACAGAAAGAAGGAAAATGTGAGGACTCAGGAGAAATCATGTTGCAACTTTTTCAATTTAAGTTTCTTCCGAAGTGTGCTTATCTCTTAGTACAGTTTCTTTAAGCAAAGAGCATGTTGGTGCTAAGGATGTTTAGAGAAAGGGGTCTGATATTTTTCTAAAAGAAGTGATGGTATAGTGGGGTAGGATCAGATGATTGATATAAAATGACTAAACTTCATTTTATCTCTTTTCCTGCTTCACTAAGTATCACAAATGAAATTCAAGTTAAGTGAAGGGCAAGTCTTCCTGAGAAAGTCTTCAAAAATCTGCCTTTTAGAGCTTTAAACACTTAGGTGTGATGCAGGTTATATAATGTACTTGGGGTCAGTGGCAGATACTAAGGTGATCCTAGATTGTGAAGATAGTTCTTAAAAACATCCTACCAGTAAATATTTACTGAATATTGATTATCTTTGTGCATGCACTGTTTAAGAAATTGGCAATAGGGGGCTTGAGAGATGGCCCAGAGGTTAAGAGCACTGGCTGTTCTTTCAGAGGTCCTGAGTTCAGTTCCCAGCAACCACATGGTGGCTCACAACCATTTGTAATGAGATCTGGCGCCCTCTTTTGGCCTGCAGGTGTACATGTAAGCAGAACTGTCTGGGCCAGTCTGTATTGGCCCCTTGTTGTGGGTCCATAAGTGGCGGCCTGGTGTCTCCGGGCTGCGATCAGAACCAGCCAAAGAGCCCTGGGTCCATCCTGAGTTGGGGGAGTGTGGATGAGGGAAGGCTAGCTGTCGTTGTTAAAGAAAAGACAGATATTTAGTCATATCAGGAGGGCAATATCAGTTAATACTGAAAGCCCCAGTTTTTTGATGCATCATCTTAAGTAACCATCCAAAGGTGAGGGCAATGGCAGAAGACATCTATTAATATGTATAAAGGGCAGATAGCAATTACTTCCCTTAATCCTAAAGGCACTCCTTAGCGTTCAGGCACTCCATAACACCATATGTCACCCAACCTTCAGGGTGAGTATAATACTCACCTTGGCCTAGGGTTGTTGTTACTTAGTTAGGAGCTATTCACCACCAAGGCTAGGACATCCTGCAGCCATTAGCTGACATCTTAAAGACAAGGAAATAGGCTCTCCTGAACTTGTAGCAGGGTGGAATAGATTTCCAAATATAGACACAGAACACTGCATACATAATATTTAAAAAAATGGCAGCATAACCATAGCATAAGAGAAATCTCTTCAAACAATGTATAGTTTTGTAGGGGAGACAAGCATAAACATTAAAAATACAAAATAATGAATCTTGGGGGGCAGTGGTGGCGCACGCCTTTAATCCCAGCACTTGAGAGGCAGAGGCAGGCAGATCTCTGTAAGTTCAAGGCCAGCTGGTCTACAGATTGAGTGCCAGGACAGCTAGGGCTGTTACATAGGGAAACCCTGTCTCAAAAAAACAAAAAAATGAATTTTGCTGGGACTCTGAAAACTAATAAAATGGTGACGAGTCAGCCTTAGTCGGGATGACAATCAGAGCAGAGGGCCCCGAGATGACATTTATGATGATATTGAATGACAAGGAAAGGAGATTTGGTTGGTGATGAACGAGTGTATTTTTAAAAGTACTTATTTTTATTATTTTAAAATTATGTGTATGAGTTCGGGTGGACAGTGTGGAGGCCAGAGGCAATAGATCCCCATGGAGCTGGGTTGTAGGTAGTTGTGAGCCACTATATGGATCCTGGGAACTGAATTGGGGTTCTTTGTAAGAGCAATGTGTGCTTTTTAAATAATTTTCATTTTATGTAGATAGGTATTTTGCCTGCATGCATGTCTGTATGAGGGTGTCAGGTACCCTGGAAGTGGAGTTACAGACAGTTGTGAGCCACCTCTCCATCTCAGTGTGAGCTCTTAACCACTGAGCTGTTTCTCTAGCCTCCATGAAAGGGTTTTTGCTTTTGCTTTATTCTTATTTATTTATTATGTATACAGTGTTCTGCCTGTAGGCCAGAAGAGGGCACCAGACCTCATTACAGATGGCTGTGAGCCACCATGGGGTGTTGGGAATTGAATGCAGGAGCTCTTAACTTCTAAGTCATCTCTCCAGGAAATGAAAGTGTTTACTCCTGTTTTAGACCATGGGCCTCCACTATGTTTGAATGCAAGGGTGTGTGTGGACTTACAGAAAAAAAAGAAAGAAAATGCCCAATTTAAAAGTTTTCTGCGTTTCTTCCTTTTCCAGAAAAAATCGATTGTGGTACTAAGGAAAATAATAGAGATATTAATTTAGGGAAAATTCTGGCCACTTTATTTTCTAGGGAAAATAAGAGGCTCCTGGACTTTGAAAGCTCAGACTGGTTTTGACATATTTACTTGTCTAGACAGTTAGAGTCTGACACAGTGTCTTCCCTCTTGGCAGATGGCTCAATCACAAAGGAGTGAGGCAGAAGCGCCTGAATGCCTGGCTGGGGATCAAGAACGAGGATGCTGAGTAAGTTCCTCCTGCCAGAGGGCTTTGTTCTCAGTGTAAGGCTCCTCCCATCATGTGTGTGGATAGTTAGCACTCAGTGTCACTAGTAGAACAGAGAACTTTGCACCCCTTTTGAACTGAGTTGCCTGAAGAATATGTTGCACACATGAGACTTAGATTAGATGCATACACTGCCACTCAGATGCCTTAGCTTATTAAATGAGTACTGTAGTTTCTGCACCAGAGTTAAGTGGTAAAGTTGTTTAAAATTCACCTAATTACAATTTTACTTTGTTATTTAATAAAGATGAAGAATAACATTTTATTAGTTTTAGATAAAAGAAAACTGATTTCTAGAATAATATTTCAAAATTTAACTTTTAGAAGCTATTTTATTAATGAAGAAGATGAGAATCTGCCACATTATGATGAAAAAACCTGGTTTGTGGAAGATGTCAACCGAGTACAAGCAGAGGACTTGCTTTATGGGAAACCAGATGGTGCATTCTTAATTCGTGAAAGTAGCAAGAAAGGATGCTATGCTTGTTCTGTGGTGTAAGTCTTCTCTGGGGAAATAATTAATGAAAGTCATCATAAAATTGAGATGGAATTAGAGTATGGTGATAAGGACTCGTGGCTTACTTAGGCCATCAGTGTTTAATGGTTTTAGGATGTAATGGATTTTAGTCTGGCCCTGCTGCTTCCTTGCTGTGTAACGTGGGTATGCATGTAACTTACCTGTCCCTTGTCTAATCTCACCTGTAAAGCAAAGGTGATAATAATACTTGGCTCTGAAGTACGTGCTACCTACTAATGTTGTTATGGTAATAATGACGAGACTGTAAGACAGAGTAGAAAGCAAAGAAAGTGCTAAGTGACTGCTCTCAAAGAGCACATGGCTTAGACAACTATGGATGTTTTCTTTCACACAGAGAATATAAATAACATAAAAGTGAAAGACGGACGGTCAAGGCTACACAGAAAAACCCTGTCTCAAATAAAAAAAAAAAGTAGAAGACACACTATTTGGGAGAATGGGGGTTGGGGGGGGGCACCTCGAGGGTACGATAGAGAGCGGATAGCCAGGGGAATATATGATCAAGATACACATATGTCTCAAAAATTCTACTGGGATCAGCAAGATGGCTCAGTAGGTAAAGGCACTTAGTCACCAAGCTTGATGACCTGAGTTCAAGACTCACATGGTACAAGGAGAAAGCAACTCCTTCAAGGTATCCACTGATTTCACATGTATGCCATGCATACACAATATGTGTGCCCCACCATAAAGAAATAAAAGTAATTTTAAATGTGACTTTAAAAAGTCACATTGAAACCAGTTATTTTGTGTGTTAACTTTATTCATTCTGGTAAGGGAGTTAGAGGTTTGTGGAAGAGGTGTTAGAACTGGATCCTAAAGCATGAATGCTGTCTATGGAAGAAAATGAGGCAGGATGGAAAAGTATACATAGTATACTGTGTTAGTCATCTAAGAGTAGGACTCCTTACAGCATCCCACTTTTGTTTGCCTTACTCTACTTAAATTGTGTGAGTTGAAATGACAGGGAGGGCAGTTCTCACCAGATTTGAAGTCTTATAACAAGAAAAGGAAGGCAGTAGCGTGTCTGTGTCTCCTACAGCTGATAAACACTTTCAGCAAAGAGGCTGAATACAAAACTTACAAAAAACAGTAGCTCTCCTACATGCGAATAACAAGTCAGCTGATAAATCAGGGAAACAACACCTTTCACAATATCCTCAAATAATGTAAAATGTCTTGGGGTAATGCTAACCAAGCAAGTGAAAGACATGTAAGATAGAAACATCATTCAAATAATTTAAGAAATTGAAGATCTCAGAAGATCTCCCATGTAGGATTCAAATGGTAAAAATGGCTATCCTGCCAAAAGTAATCGACAGATTCAATACAATCCCAATCAAAATTCCAACACAGTTCTTCACAGATCCTGAAAGTACAATTTTCAGCTTCATCTGGAAACACCCAGGAGAGCTAAAACGATCTGAACAATACAACAACTGCTGAAAGTGTCACCACCCCCAATTTCAAAGTTGTATTACAGAGCTACAGTAATACAAACATCATGGTATTGGTGCAAAAACAGACAACATTGGTCAATGGAATAGAATTGAAGACCTAGACATAAATTCACACACATATGGACATCTAATTTTTGATGAAGAAGTCATAATATACACTGGAATAAAGACAGCATCTTAAACAAATGGTGCTGGTCTAACTGGATGTCTGCATGTAGAAGAATTCAGATATATCCATACTTATCACCCTGTACAAAATTCACCTCCAAATGGATTAAAGACATCAACATAAAACCAAATACACTGAGCCTGAAAAAGAAATTGGAAAATAGCTTTGAATTCATTGGCACAGAAAAAGACGTTCTGAACAGAGCACTGTTAGCACAGGCACTAGGATCAACACTAATAAATGTGACTCCATAAAACAGAAAAGCTGCTGCATGACAAAGGACACCATCATTTAGACAAAATGACAGCCTACAGAATGGGGGGAAAAGGACATTGTGATTGGAAGAGGTAAAATAGGTGTATGGAGGTTACAGGTTTTCTCTCTCTCCCTCTGCCCACACACATACTCATTTATCTACATTTATTTTTGGATAGGCTCTCATGTACTCCAGGCACGTCTTACTTAAATCTGTTGTATACCTGATTATGACCCCGAGCTTCCGATAATCAGGCCTCTACTTCCCAGGTGATGGGTGCTACTATGCCCAGTTTATACAAAACTGTATTTCTGTGTGTTAGTAATGAGTAACCCGAAAATGAGGTGACATGCCATTTAAAATTATGAAATGCTAAGGAATTAAACCAATTTGTATAGTGACATCTGAGAAATGTGACTGATTGAATGACGCTAAAGAGTTTAGTCAGTGAAGATGTCTGTATGTTAATATCTACAGCAGTGGTTCTCAGTCTTCCTAATGCTGCAACCCTCAGGATGTGGTGACCCCCAACCATAATTTCATTGCTCCTTTGTAACTAATTTTGCCACTGCTATAATCATAGTGTAAATATCTGTGTTTTCTAAGGGTCTTAGGTGGCCCCTGTGAAAGGATATTTCAACCCCCAAAGGGTCAGGACCCACACACAAGTTGAAACCCACTGTCTAGAGGCAGTTTTCCTGTTCTATTACACTTACTCAGCTCCTTGAAACACAATAAACTTCATTTTCTTTCCTCAAAAAATATTTGAAATATCAGTACTTCATAAAATTAGTCTACGAAGTTAGCACAATCCTAACAAAATCCAAAGTCCTAGCTGAATATTTGCAGAAATAAGTTTTCTAAAAGTCCTATGAAATGCAAAGGACCTAAAATAACCAAAACAATCTCAAGAAAGGAAGTTGTAGCACTACCACCTTGATTTCAGAGCTCATGATTGTAAGCGATAGCAACCAACACTGAGGAGGGATTAACAAAGGACAGACATGTATGTGGAATGACAGGGATTGAGGGCTGAGAGGTTAGGTTTACGTAGAATTTATGGTTGTTTTAAGTATCTGAAGTCAAGCCTTTAAGAGGCACAGTGATGCCTGATTGACAGCTACTTGTGCATGGGATCCTTTGTGTAACTGTTGCTCTGGACTTCCCTGTCTACTGTGACCAACCTGCCTTAGCATTTTCTGTGGTATTGTTACAGCGCGGACGGGGAAGTGAAGCACTGTGTGATCTACAGCACGGCTCGAGGATACGGCTTTGCAGAACCCTACAACCTGTACAGCTCGCTGAAGGAGCTGGTGCTCCATTACCAGCAGACATCCCTGGTTCAGCACAATGACTCCCTCAACGTCAGGCTCGCCTACCCTGTCCATGCACAGATGCCCTCACTCTGCAGATAAGCAGGGTGGGAAGAGACATGGCTCTCCAGCATTTTCCTATGGTTTTAATTAGACTATGACGAGGGCATTCTTTCTACGTAGACTGCTTGTTTTGCACAAGTGATTCTGTGGATGTGAAATGGAGAGGCCGAGCAGTAGCTGGCCAGGATTTGGGGATAAACGAGGGGCCCGGGGTCTCTGGACTCGCTGTGCTGCTGCACTCATGTACTGAGCTGGAAGCAGAAACTGGTTTCATGGGGGATTTGTTTTGTTGTCAGGCACCTTGAACAGAAGAGTTAGACTTGTTGTGGGTGGGGGTGGGGTTTTTATTTGGAAGCCTCTTAAGAGTCCATGTCCTCTTGTCTTCAGCTCTGAGAATGCAGCGGGTCATGGTTTTGTTGGGAGTTGTTTTGCTTTTATACTCTCCCCCCATAAGAAGCAGCTAACTTTGGTTCTGTGATAAGATGGGGTTTGGTTTGGGTGGAAAAAGGCAACCAAAGGAAATAGGGAGGTGTGGGATTTCATTTACAGAATCTAAACCAAGGAGGCAAAAGACCCCTTCAGTCAATTTTATCAGCATAATTTAGGCTTCAGAATCTTACCATCTCCTCCCTCTAACGCACTATGTTCATGAACCAACAAAGCAACATTGTCAGACCAGGGTCTAAGGGGAGAAGGTAACACTAGTAGCTGAATGTACACTTCTGTACCAAAACTTGACAGAAAACTACAAGTGTGAGTTTTAACAAACACTAAAATTGGTCAGTGTGTTTCCTTTTGCCCTGGCCTTGTTTTTGAGATGAATAGAATTGTCTTGTGGAGATAGTGAGCTTTGAGTCATATTGAAGTCGGTGCTTGTGTGGTGTTTCTTTAGCCTAAAGAATGATGTTTGAAACCTTTGTAACTAGTTTTATGAGTAAAGAAAAGGTGCAATCCAGTGCTTTTAGATGGCTTGATATATACCAAATAATGATAGAGAACAACATCGTTGTGTGTTCCCCCAAGTTTAAAAGCCTTGCCAAAACTATACAAGGATTAATTTGCCTTCATCTCCCCTTCCTTTTCTGGGTAGGGTTTAGGGAGCCATAGGTAGCTAAAGGACGACTCAGTTTGTGGTCAGAGACCTCAGTGAATCACAGACACGTGGGCCCTTGTGTCCAGGGTGAAGGGCCCATCACATTACACATTCTGCAATGTGGCTGAAGCTTTTGCCAAGAGAGGGGCTACTACAGCTTGGAGTTGAGACTATCTGAGGGGAAGATCTACAAGCTTTCCTGTTTGCCACTGAGTTAGTGTCACATCCTTTCTTCATGCTTCAGTGGCTGTGATTTTAGGCCAGGAATCTTCTGCTCCATGTGGCTTAGGCCTTCTAGCTAAGTGAAATTCGTTAGGTAGAGGACAGGCATCTATTCCTGGCTTCATACTCATTTAACAGAGTCCAGCTGCTTCAGAGCCAATCCTGGAGCCATAACAGACTCAGTGTGACTCAGCTGCTTGAGCCTAATGCTATGCAGTCAGGCATTCTAGTTGAACAAGTCAAGCAGCCAGTACCTGGGTCTTGGCTCATAGGCTTCTATCAGGGAAGATCACATGTGGGGGGCCAAAATAAAGAGGAACATCATTTTCCCTGAACATTTACTTTGGTGACAGTGTCTAGAGAGAACCACAGTATTAGAGAGAGAGCAACATTTTTGGAAAGTTGTCATCAAAGTAAGGATAGAAAGAAAAGGCATGTCATTCTCTTTTGAGAATGAGAGGAAATTGATCTCAAGGCCCTCCCTGCCTTTCTCAAAATTGCCAGCCTGAAATCTCAGTTTACCAGGTAATGCCAGGCTGTTTGCTGACTTTACCTGATTGAACTTGCTGAAGCAGGTCCATGATCAGGCTAAGATATAAGGAATCCCTGTCTGGCACTAAAGCTTTAGTATGTCCAGGATGCTTTCTTCCCCCCAAATAAGTCAAAATGGACTATCTATAGCTGCAGTGTTGAATATTGTCATTACTCTGTAGGGCAGACATGGAGGATGCACAGGAGACAGACAGAGAGCAGAATCTTTGCATTGACACCGGTGCTCAACTGTGGAGAAAGGCTGTTTTTCAGTCCTATATTCTTTCCCTTTAAGTGATCCACCTTGTGAGATCTAAGATCAGCTAATAAATTGGAAGGAATCTTTTTCTGACAAGTTCCCACACGATTTACTCGGTCCTGAGCTGTGGAAATGGCATGAAGACCAGTCTCCTAACAGTGGTCCTTGTGTCTGGGGAAGTCAGCATGTTCCTATGGCTCCATGGCTCAGAAGCAGGTCATGGTCTTCTTCCCAATGTTCTGTCCCATGGTCTGGCCCTGAGACTATATCTCTTTTGGCATCTTAACTGCAGTCTCACTGACTAAAGCTGAGGGTACAGAGACAGATTAACCAGAGATGCAGATCAGCCAGCCCCCAACATGAACGCAGCTTTTGGTTGGCTAGATACACTTGTCTTTTAATAACAAAACAATGCTGTTTACACCTGGCATCATTCAACCTATGTTCTTGTCACTGCTCCCGCCATAGATGAAGATAGCCTACGTTCCACTCCTCCATACATCATAGGTCTCCACATTTACTTCAGACTCTTTGAGCCAGTGTATGGTATCTTCCACGTGTCTCACCTTGCTGCCAGGTACCAGCTCCATGTATTCTCCTGAGCTTAAAAAAAATTGTATCTGAGCAATTTCTGTTCTCTAGGATGATCTCTGTTGCCAGTCAGGACCTCAGAGTAGAGCTCTGTGAAGTTTCCATGGCATCAAAAACCAGAGGGTCTATGCTTGGTCCTTTGCTACCAACTGTTCAGTTTTTACTTAGCTCTAGCCATTTGTGACAGCCAACCTTGTTTCTTTACAAATCCTCGCATGTAACTTTGGTATCCTGTTGTTTCTTGTGAAAAAATCTATTCTGTTGTCTTTGATGTAATAAAAAAAAAATTCATGTAGTTTATGTAAAAATACCTAACTCAGAAGGAAGCCAATTGTGTCTTGTGTGGGACAATTCATAATGTAGTTCCTAGACCACTTTTGCAATTGTTCTTGTCACCAAATGTGTTTGGACATTGCTGTGCAGTTGTGGGGCAGGGGTGGGAGGAAGGTAAGGCAAGAACATTGTTGGGCTTTTTTTGTTGTTTACCTTCTCCAAGACTGGGATGGTCTGGCTGACTCGATCCAGATGCAATAAAAATATTGCAACGAAGCACCTTTCTGTGTTCTTGGCATGGAGGGCAGTGGTGGGCTTGGGGCAGGGTAGGGAGGATGGTAAGTGGTCCTGCGGTCTTAGAGACTATACTGGGACCACTAGAGGCTCTCCCTCCTTTGAGAGGAAATCAATACTTAAACAAAAATCTACCCCAACAGTATACAAACTCAAATACTAATTGGAAAAATCAGAGTTTGAGAGCTATTTCCTCCCCTTAACATCCATTCCTAGTAAGTGTGTTTTATTGGTTCTCATGCCCAGAAATGAGCATTTTCTATTTCTACTCTAGGGTTATGAGAAATGGCCTTACCAGTCTTATCCAGTCCCTCTCTCAAGCACTTTATCCACATGGCTTGGTCAGGGAATGCCTGTTTACTTACCTTGTTTTGTGCATTTCTTCCCTGCCGTGTCCTAAGTACAAGGCATGAACTGTGCATGTTTAATCCCAAAGCAGTCAAAATGATCTCACTACTCCTCTTTGGAAGTCTCCACCTTGTCACCCCACCCCCAAACCTATAAACTGCCTATAACCACATAACTCCTCTCCTTCATGTTAAATTACAATAGGTAGCCCTCTTCCAACCAATTCTATCCTTCTGGAATCTTTTCAGCTCCCCCCACCCCCAGCTGGATCAATCTACATTTTACACTTACAATGGCTGGGTGTATAGTGCTGGAGAGATGGGTGATCTTCTAGAGGACCCAAGTTCAGTTCCTAGCACCCACAAGCACCTGAAATTCCAGTCCCAGAGGATCTGACACCCTCTCTGGCCTCTGTGACACTGTATGCCTGGTGGTGCAGATACACAAGTAAGGAAGATCCATACACAAAAACTCATTTTTTTTTTTTTTTACAAAACAAAAATAATTTGGCTGTCCTCACACTAACTTAAATTCTATTCATACCTTTCCCTTATCCTTCTTCAGAGCAAGCATTTCCTTCACTCAGTTTTCTTCAAACTGTGCTCTTTGAAGTGTTAAGTAACCATTGCTTCTTTTCTTAATGAAAACTCATCCACTCCACTATAAGCTATTCACCTAGCTTTCTTCTGTCATGTTTCAGCTAGAGAGCTTTTCTAGTCTCACCTTAGTGCTCTCTTTTCCTAAAATTTTCCTCTATCACTAGGCCAATACATTTCTCTTGCCCAGATCTCCACTGTAAGGTATCTCCTATTCTGTACATTGACTGTAGTAGCAGGGCACGTGGGGTGTGGTGGTCTGAATGAGACTGGCATCACAGGCTCATGTCTGAATACTTGGTCCCCAGTTGATGGAACTGTTTGGGAAGGACTAGGAGGTATGGCCTTGTTGGAGGTGTCTCATTAGGGGTGGGATTTGAGGTTTCAAGGTTCCTGCCATTCCTGGTGTTCCCTTCTGCTTGAGGTTCAAGATGTGAACTCTCAGCTCTCCCTGATGCCATGGTGGGGTTTGTTGTTGTTGTTAGGGTCTGTGTAGCTCTGGCTGTCCTGGAATCACTGTGTAGACCAGGCTGGCCTCAGACTCGAGAGATCCTCTTGCTTCTGCCTCCCCAAGTGCTGCTGGGATTAATAGTATGTTCCAACATGCCTGGCAGGTCTAACTTCTTTCTGATTAAGGATCTCTCTCTCTGCCTGCTTCCCCTTCCCCTGGGCACCATGCATGTCCTTCCTGTTTCTCCCCCCATCCCTACACTACCCACAAGCACACTTCTAGTCATTAAGGGCTTCTCACTACAATATTTACCAGAAGTCCCACCCCACAACAAACCAGAATGGCCTGCTGCTAAATACAGATGGTCACCTGTCTTGTCAGCATTGTATCTGGTCATTCTGCTTCAAAATAGGAGGCTATTTTGAAGCTCTTTCCCTCTCTTGGATCTGGTGCCTGTGTTACTGACTGGACTCTGTACCTGTTCTCATGCCAGACAATTCCCTCCCTCTATGTTGCTGTGCCCAGGGGTGTCACTATTAATAAAATGTAGCTCTCATTTCTGTATATTTCATTACCTTCTGGATACCCCATATATACCTCAAAGTAAATATATCCAAAGTTAAACTCATCACTTCCTTGTGTCAGAGACCTGAGTTATCTAATCCCAGCCCTTCCCAAATTGTATTGCCTAGGGCAGGAAAGCCCATTTCCTTATCAAGTAGGTAGGAATGTTAGTGGCCCCAAGTCCTATCCAGTGCTCTGTCACCTACAGAATCTGGGAGCTAGCCTCTTCTTTGTTCCTCGCGTACAATGATGGCTATGCTAAAGGTTGTAAACCACAGTCTGTCTTCCAACCATCAGACCCTGTTCTACTTTGAGTTCTTTTTGGTTCCTTCAACAAAGCCAAGTATATTGTATACTCTGGCCATTCTTTCCTGTGCCACTTCCTACTCTGAGAAAAACTATTCAGCACCCACTTATGTCTGAGCTCAGATATTTCATGGTCTGAGAAATGCAGCTGGTTTGAGTTCTCTTCCAGAGAGTGGAAACTTAGTCATTATAACCCCAGTAGTAATAGGCCCCAGACCTAGAGTCATTATACACATGACCAATAGAAAGAAGCAAACAAAGGCCAAGATGATTTCTAGGAGGGTGTATTACACAGGTGAGTGCAAACCCAACTGCTATGTTTGCTTTAAAAGCTCATCTGATGCCAGTGCCAAGTCCTGATGCTGTTGTTGGCCCCCAGGTTCTTGGCTTCTCCAGGGCAGGCTGGGCCCGGTTTCTGGGCTGAGGGGGCAGGCTCGGCATGCAATGTCCTGCCTCTTGTCACCTGACACATCAGGCACTTCCATGATGCTCAGGGCCGGCTCTTCTTTCTTCAATTGTTCACATTCAGACTCCCATAGCCAGTTTTGCCTGGAGACCTCACCAAGTGGATAGGTTAGCCCAGGGACACCAGGTGACTGTGGCTTCTCCTGCTCATGAGACAGGTTCTTTGGAAGAATTGGAACTGTGGTTTCCAAATCTTGGGTGTTAGCTGGCTCAACTGTCCTTGTTATCTTCTTGTTTGGGGATGCCCTGTCTGGACCTTCAATAAGGAATTTCCAGGACCACGTTCCTGGCTTTCCAGAGGTGGAGGTGGCAGCAGAGCAACTGGTAGGGCAAAGTTCTGAAGAGCTGGGACAAAGTGCAGCTGGTGCCTGTGCGTGGAGGTGCTGGACCTCCCAGCAGCCTTCAGAGGGGGCTGGACTTGTGGGCCTAGACGTACTCAGGCTGGGGGCTTGGAAGGAACTGGTAGCTTCCTCAAAGGTTTGTGATCTCCAGACCCTCCTCTGGGAAAGTCCAGGAACTTCTATTTGGGGGGAACCTAGTATGACCCCTGTCAATAGGCCTGAGAGTACAGGACCCTGGTTCTTTAGATCCCTATTCAAGAAAGTGTCCTCTTCCCTTCCCTCTCCTGAACCTTTAGTGGGTAGATTCTGGCCAGCTTCTGGTTGGGGGGCCAATCTTGGCTCTTGTGTGGCCTGGCTCTTCTCAGGCTCCTCATCAGTGTCGTCTTCTGAGGAGTCTACTTCCCGGATAGCCTCTTGTTTTTGCAGTGACTCTCGGCGTTCAGCTCGATCCTGCCGGAGGGTCCCAAGGGCCCGAGAAGGAGCAGGCTGCAGCACTCCTTTTCCTGGAAGTGGCCCTTTCCCAGATAGCACACTTCTGGGTCCAACCACCTCCAGAGGGCTGGCTTCCCTGGGTGGCAGTTCCTTCTTTAGCTCACCATGGGGCAGGTCAAGACTATGTTTGCGGGAAGGGGTTAACTTCTTCTCAGAAGCTGCCAGTGCAGCAGCTAGCTTTTCAGCAGACTGCACCCTCTTAAGCAGTGGAGAGCGGGGTGGCTCTGCACTCTTGGGCCGTGAGAGCTGCCTACCTAGTGGAGGAGACAGGTGAAGTTTGTTAGGAAAGGCCTGGGCTCCGTGTCCAGACAGAGGTGATGGGGAGCGCTGAGGAGAGGCTGCTGCTGCTGCTGATGCTGGTGGAGAAGGGGTGTGGGCCAGTGGTGACAGTGGGATGCTGCCTGCTGACTTGCGTCGTGGAGAGCGGTATTGGCGTTGGAGCTTGGGTGCCAGACCATGTAGAGAGCTGGGCCGTGTATGTCCAGAGCCCGCAGGGGAACTGGGCACACTGGAGCTGGGAGAGCTGCTCTGTGATGAATTCCCTCCCACTTTGGTTAGAGGCAGGGATGGATGGAAAGAAACAGAAAACAGCACCTCAGTGTTAGTTGTTAGAAGTGACTGAGTGGCACTGGAATGCCCTAGGGCTGTCCACTTTACACTGCTGGTAGACTAGAGTCCACTTAATCCACCCCCACCCCCCATCAATTCCTCCCAAAACTTCTGGCTCTTCAAGGGTGGGCTAGAGTGGGGCCTATGGGAAGCAGAGGGCTCGGGTTCATTCCTATTTTCCAAAGGGGTGGTTTCTGATCTTCAGGGAGCTCCCTGTACCTGAGTGCATAGCATCAGGGGCTACCCGGTAGCCCTGAGGAGGAGATCGAGGAGAGAGGCTGTGGCTGTGTGTGGGAGAGCCTGGACCACTCTCTCCTGATGACAAGGAGCGGTTAAGGGAAGAAAGGCTTCGGCTGGTGTGTAGCAAGGAGGCCTGCTTGGTGATCTTCCGGAACAGGGAGCTTCTTTTTCTGCTGTAGAGGTAAGGGCAAGACTGAGTTGCACAGGGCAGAGAAAACTCCCAAGTGGGGAGCCCAGATCCACAGCAAATGTGAGTACTCAGGTTCACTTGGTAGACCTCTGGATCAAGTCTGTCTCACCTTTCTTGCCCATCCTTGCCCCGGTTCCGTTTGCTCCTTCGGGCCATCTTGGCTTTGTAGCTGCCTTTCCGAGCTGGGCCCACTTTGATGGATGTATTCTCTAAGGGTGTTGTTGATATCGATACCTTGTTTCCACTCTGAGAAGCCAAGCAGAGAGAAGCATGACACTTTGACCAAGTGTGGGGCTATTTTCTTGTCTTGCTCTTACACACCAACATGCACATCTAAACAAGTGCTCTTTTCCCTCACAGGATAGACAATGGTTCCAGGG